TTGGAAGCCATGATTTGATTTTTACAGAATTAACAAGAAGGAAGTAACAATTCCAAAATCATCATCATCATCATCATCATCATCATCATCATCATCATCATCATCATCATCATCATCATCCCTTTCCGGTTTTTCCAGAGGAGAACAGGCCCAGACCTCCCTGGGAGCTGTCTTCGTTCTCCCTTGAAGTTAAGGGCTACAAATTCTAGCAGGCCTTTACCTGACGTTCCGATCAGACTAGAGCCTAGCCCTCCCTGCTTGGACCCAGGTACACATCTGACATTCCATATTAGGCCCCTGGGTGCGCCCATAGGGCTTCAGCCTTCTTGTGTAGTGCCCCACATGTCACATTTTCACAGAGAAGCAGTTCTGGCGTAATGACGGGCTTCTGCCCTCCATCTCCAGCCTTTTGGCTGGTACCCATGAAGTGCTGGGCACATTCGCTCAGCATTCTAGGCTGTAGCCAAACAGCCACCCTGGCCTCTCTGCCCGGAGCAGGCTTCATCCCACCTTCAGAGGAGACACGGGTCTGCAGTCCACAGGGTCACCCACCCCAGCGCAGGAGGCGCTGGAATGCCCTAGAGTCGCTGTCTATCTCTGTTCTCAGCTGTCCTCACTTCCTTCCCCATCCCCCAAACCCCACCTCCTGGGGTATACTAGGCTCTGGTCTGTGGACTACAAACCCTCCATAATGCCCTGGACAGAAAGACTCTGGAACTAGTTTGGATTCCCAGATAGCAGGACTGGGAATCCTGTTTGTGGTAAACCCCCTTAGTTTTTAAGCTACTCCACCAGTTTAAAAACTTCCCAGCTCTTTGCCTAAAGAGCTCTCTTTCCGAGTAGCAGCCATTGGTGCTTGGGGGTGAGATGGGGGGGGGCAGAAATTGCGGGGTTCACAGGGAGGATCACCAGATCGACGCCATCTCTAGAAACAGTGCATCGGTTGACAGTTCCCTCAAAAGGCAGGGATGAGGTGGCGGTTGGGTAGTTTTCAGTGGAGGAGGATAAAAGATGTAGTTTGGGGATATTGAATCCTCGATGGTACCCTGAGGATCTGACTCCAAGGGTAGGCCCATGAGTGTCAGAGGGAGTGAGTAGTGATTGATAAGCTATAACCCAGTATCATTTTGATTGTGGCCCCGGTTGAGCCATGATGGTTTTCAAAAGCACTGGTAAATCTGGCTTCATGCCTGAAAAATGTTTTGAGACTGATGAGTAGGATGGAGAGGACCGGGCAGGGGAATTCTGCAGCGTGGACATGCTCGGAACTCCAAGAGCACCGTTAGCAGCCTGCCATGCGGCGGAGGACGGCCTTATGATTAGCATGGCTGCGTGTGAGCCGCTGTGCGTGTGCTTGCGGCGGCAGCGCTGCAGTGAATGGGGGGTTCAGTGAATGGGGGGTTCCTATCACACTCCTACTTAAAATACCGCAGGAGACCTGGGAAGGCTCCCTCAGTCAGGGGTGCTAATGAACAGACGCTGCCCTTCCCCTCCTCTGGCTAACGAGGCTCAGCCACTAATTGGTGTAATTAGCAGTGAATGACTATGGGAAAAAAAAATCTCTTTCTCCTCATGCGCCTGAGCTCTCTGCTTTGGTTGCTTGGCTGCCACTGGTTTCCTTTATGAAGCTCAGGCTGAAGAAGGTCTTCACCTTCTTTCAGATGGCTCCTCTGGCCAGTAACTGGCTGCACCATTGATCTTTCCTGGAGCTGGAAGGTTAAGGTTCATCTTGGGCTCTTCAAAAATCCTTGTCAGGGTTGGCTTATGTGGCTCCCAGAAATTTCTTTTTATCATCAATTTGGACTTCGGCTTCGTGAAGGTTCTTCATCTTTTTCTAAGGCTGTAGACCCCCAAAACAGAGCGAAAGGATATGGGTTGCTATGGAAATCATTGAATGAAAATTTTATTTCCCATGGCACTGGCTGAACAGGGAAAAGGAAGAAAAGAAACCAGCTACATAGGAGGGAATAAAGACGTGTCCAAGACACAGAGAATAATTAACAATGACTGAAGAAGTCCGAGGGACATCTCTCCAAGGAGGCTGATCTCCCACAAAGAACAGCTACATCTCTTTTGCAGGAGCCCTCACGGAAGCCCAGGGGGCTGGATGTCCTGGGAGGGATCTGATTTGAATTCCTTGAGAAGGGTAGGAAGATACTGTGTTACATAGAAGCCACCCTCTGGCATCCAGGATGGTGCTTGGAGGGGTTTTTGATGCCGTACGGGCATGAAGTTGGAAAGCAGAAGCCAGCTTCTGCCGTTCTGACTCCAGTCAGTTTTGCAGAGAGTGCTCTCCAGGTGTTGTGTTAAAATGCAAGGACCCAGCTTGTCTGACACACTCTGGTCAGCTTCTCGACGTAGTCTTGAGCACTAGTTGGATGTTTTCTTTCCACAGCTCCTATTCTAATTATGTGAGCCCTTACATGTGATGACCTGGGGTAGGAACTTAAGCTTTTATTTAAAGGTTGATGTGTCTTTTAAAATGGTGTGTGTGTGTGTGTGTGTGTGTGTGTGTGTGTGTGCACGCGTGTGCATATAGGTGCCCTCAGAGGCCAGAAGAGGGCCTTAGATTCCTTGGAACCAGAGCTACAGGCCTTTGTGACCTGCCTGGCATATGTGCTGGGAATCAAATTTGGGTCCTTTGCAAGAGCAGTCCATGCTATTAAGCACTGAGCCACCTCCCTAATCCTGTACTGACTAGCTTTTGTCAACAGGATGTAAACTATAGTTGCCTAGGAAAGGGGAACCTCAAATGAGAAATCGTCTCCCTCAGATCAGCCTGTGGGGCATTTTCTTGATTAATGGTTGATGTGGGAGGATCCAGCCCACTGTGGCTGCTGCCACCCCTGGGCAGATGGTCCTGGGTTGTCTAAGAAGGCAAGGCGAGTGAGCCTTGAACGCAACATCCCTCTGTGGCTTCTGCTTCAGTTCCTGCCTCGAGTCCCTGCTTTGGCTTCTCTAGCTGATGGGCTGTAAACAGTGAGCTGAAATTCCAGTTAATCCAGGGTTTGTTACAGCTACAGACTGGGAGCTACTTCTAATGACAGTCAGTGCCCTGTAGTCGCAGGTTCTAAGGACTGGGCCAACTGTGAATCAAAAGTATTTAAGAAAAAAAAAAAAGCCAACTGTCCTAGAAATGTGCAGGATCTTTTTGCAGTGCTCCTTGAGCGGCACAGTATGGCAACTGTATATAGCGCTGTTTGCAAGCATCGCCTGGTATCGGGTGTTATCTAGAGATGATTTGAAGTGTGCAGGAACACGTATGTGGTTCTTGTGCAAACATTACATCATCACAAGGAATTTGGGCAGCCTCTTACTCACAGTGGGGCCCTTGAACCAATCCTTCCTGGATACTGGATCCAGTGGAAAACACCAGGGGAGAACGGACCTAAAGCTCGTGGATGGCTAGCCTTCTGGGCTATCCTGTAACCTGAGATGACGTGAGATAGTTTTCTTTTGCAATATTAATTTTTATTTATTCATTTCACATCCGGTCACAGTCCCCTCCCCCCTCTCTTCCCAGTCCCACCCTCCATCCCTGTTACCCCTATTCCCCCCTACTCCTCAGAGAAGGGGACCCCCCACCCATGCACCCACCCTAACTCATCAAGTTGCATCAGGAACAAGTGCATCCTCCTTCCCTGTGGCCTGGCAAGGTAGTCCTGCCCGGAGAAAGTGATCGAAAAGCAGGCAACAGAGTCCATGTCATAGTCAGCCCCCATGCCCCTTACTAGCGAACCCATTGGAGGACCGGGCTGCCCATCAGCTACATCTGTGTGGGGGCCTAGGTCCAGTCCTTGCACGGTCCTTGGCTGATGCTTCATTCTCCACAGGCCCCCCTGGGCCCTGGTTAGTTGGCTCTGTTGGTGTTCTTGTGGAGCTCCTGGCCTCTTTGGGTCCTTCTATCCCCTCTCATTCTTCCACAAGGCTCCCTGCGCTCTGCCCAATGATTGGCTGTTGGTCTCTGAATCTGTTTCATCAGCTGATATGCTAGATGTTCTAGACATGGCTCCAGATGAGGTTTCTGAGCTCACAGAGCTGTGGCCCACACTCTGAACAGGGATTAAATTCACCAAAGGAGCAAGAGGGCTTCATCGGCGGCAGTCTGCCAGCCTTTGTATGTTGACTGACCTTGCCTGCCTACAGGCTGTGTGGACCTACCGCTCTTAGCCCTTTCACAAAGCACATCCTTGTACCCAGATTCCCGGAATCACCCTATTTGCCACAGAAACACAAAAGAAACTAAGATATAACTGAAGCAAAATCTCATTCTCCATCTCAGACTTCCTGACTTTCATGTGCTTTGCCAGAGAGTTAGAGAACCCTGATATTGAGAACTGCTTCTGAGAAGCCATATTCATTGAGCCCCATTGCTGCTTTGGGGACCAAACATCTACCACATAAACTTTTAGGTCTGGTTTAAACCTTTTTAAAGCATATCACTAGTTTTTACGTGAATTATGCCTAAGTCATGAACTGGGTCTATAGAAATCCAGACATTAGAAATCCTACTAATTAACTGTGTCAAAAGAGAGATGTGTCAAAAGAGAGACCACTGCTCTCCCTTACTGACTAGAATGATGCATCATTTCAATAACCTGGCAGTCTAAAATCAATTTCCAATAAATATACAACCCAAGAAGGTCGAGCAGGTACCGTCTTTTATCTGCAGGTAAAGATACTTGCTTGAGCTCAGATTGGTAAATTGCGGGGGGAATCACATTTGAGCCACTTGTCAGGACTTGAACCCAGAACTTCTGACCGTGTATTCCATGCTTTCCTGTCACATGGCCAGAACCACCCAGGTGTGAGGCCAGTCCACACATGTAAAAGAGAAAATGAGGTGGAAAGAAAGAGTCCCGCTGTGGCGCATTTCCTGAAGGGAAACGCCTCAGACTCTCTTGTCTGGCAGTGACAGTGTTCCAGATTGGTGCACACAAGGTTGGGAGCTTTGAGGGTCTGCTCATGCGATGTGAGTGGCTGATGGTCTGTGATTCCAGGAACAGCATCTGTCGAGAATAAGGAGAATGTAGAAGACACCTGGGACTCACGGATGTGGCTGCAGAAGTATGGCTTGAAGGCTCAGAAACTGACCTTCTATGACGTGCTGGCTGACTGCTCCTTCCGCCATGTTGACGGCGTTGTTGATATAAAAGCCAAGCCGGAGAATGAATCTGGGCAGCCCAGTGCGGTAGGTGAAGGTGGGGTGGGACCGTGGGCCTTCCCTGGCGTCGAAGGCAGATGGCGAGACCTCCCTTGGAACAGAAGCCAAGGGCAGGACCAAAGTGGCAGGAAACCATCTAGGGTTTCGGTGAAAAAGTGTCCCTTTGCCTCCCGCCTTCTCTAAATGGTCCCCATGAGAGTCATGCAGGCCCGGGTGTGCTTTCTACACCCAGGCTTTGCTAGTCTGTTCTGAGGACCTGTAACAGAATTCTTGATGGAAGGTGCTTTGTGACGAAAAGCTTATATCTAGCTTTAATATCAGGGAGGTGCCACCTGTTTGGCCTTTGATGCAGTCCCCTGGCTCCCAGCCGTGTCATAGAGAAGCAGAAAGGGGGCGGAGGGGACTGAATGTGTTGGCAACCTCCCTCTACAGCAGCCTGGTCTAATGAGCCCCATGGAGGACCAGCATTCCTTCCTGTCACTGGCGGTCCCCGCCATCATCCACTAGACCCCTGCTCCTTAGAGCTTCTCCACCTCTCAGCACCGCCACACGGGGACGAACCACAGACACGTGTGTGTGGACCCACTCACCTTTTCAAGCTCTAGCGACAGAGTGACAGGAGCTACCCTGAGCCACCGGCTGGGCCGGTGGAAACTGAAGGCTTCTGAGCGCCTGCATGGCTCGCTGTCACGTCAGAAGGCTCTTTGTTGGCCTGTGTTGGACAGAAGGGAGAAGCTGCTGGTGGGAATGTAAAGAAGCAGGCATGTGTGAGGTCACAGGAAGAGGGAAGGGGCCCTGCTGGAGGAGCACATGGGTGAGAGAGGCTGGGCTGGGGAGGAGCGAGAGGGAAGGGGTGACAGCGACAGTTGCCTTCCAACCTGACGGGATCTAAACCCCTAGGAGGAAAGCCTTTGGACACAGCTGTGAGGGAGCTTTTAGATAGTGAGGTGTATCCCACTGTAAACGTGAACAAGGCCATCCCAAGTACGTGCCGCGCCCATCCGAGGATGAAGAGAAGGAGAAAGGGAGCCAGGCACCAGGCCATCTCTCTCTGCTCCCTGATTCTGCAGCCACCGTAGGAGCAGCTGCCTGAGGCTCCTGCTTCCACCACCTCCCTGAGTGAGGGACTCCCCCCCCCCCGCCACCCATGAGGGCCTGCACCTCAAACCATGGACCAACACACCCTTGGTTCCTTAACCTATCTGTGACAGCAGCAAGGAAAGTAAAGTAACTGAGGCAGGGGGCTGACCTACTTTGTAACAGGCCACGCTTAGGGTGACTGATCCTAGTTCTGAGCCACCTAACTCACTCCCGCAAAAATACTTGCCTGTCTCTTAGTGACCTGATCACCTTTAAAGGCAACACCTCCCAGCACAGCCAGGTTGGGGGCAAACCACACTCACACCATACCAAACACCCAGGAGAGGGCGAAAGTGGCGGACCAACGGGCGCTCATTGAGAAATGGCCATGTATGTGCATAGACCGGGGCCAGGACACCCTGTATAAATCATTGGTGAAGCAGAAGATCCGTGTGTGTGTGTGTGTGTGTGTGTGTGTGTGTGTGTGTGTGTGTGCATGCAAACATTAGAAACTGAGGACGTGGAGAATCAAGGTCCTGTTCAAATACTGGGTCCCTTGTTACGTCCTCACAGGCTGTGGTTCCGGTGTGTGCAGATCCGTGCTCCACTCTCTGCCGTATCCCCACGCTGGCTGCCCGCCCCGTTCCTTGCCCACCCTCCCTGCCCGCCGAGCTGTTTGCTTCTGGCCGTGCAGCCGTTGGGTTTTTACCTTCTTACCAGTTCGTGTTTACCCTGGAGCACGGGAGGGAAGTCCATAAACTAAGTTACAGAAGCGCAGCCCTGACGCAGAGCCTGCCTCCTGGAGCTTCCCGGGAGGCAGAGCGATTGCCGCAGCGCAGGGGGAATCTCGTTTGTGCCCTTTCCTTCCCAGCAAGTTTTCTAGCTTCGTAGACCCCACGCAGTCGTGTTCAGGAATCCTCATTTAGAAAATAGTCGGTCCTGGGTATTTAAAAGTATTAATCCTCGCCAGTTTTCACGCAGCCCACCTCGAGCTGCTGACAATACGGCAGGCTCCGGGCCAGCACCGTGCTAAACCTTCCCTTCCTTCTCAGTGAAGTTGTAAGGGCCGGTTTGAAGAATGTGGCTTCTGAACGGGGGTTAGGGAGGCTTACCTCACGTTTCCTATGCTAATAACTAATAATAAGGTGAAGGTTGAAAATTATGCTGTCTTACTGTTTTCTTTCATAGATAGTGGGGGGGGCATTGTTTCATCTTATTTTCAGACTGTGGTCTCAAATTGGGTCACTCCCATGAAATGTGTATAGTAGAGAGACGCCATGGCTGTCATAGGGTAGATGTTTTAGGGTCCCCCGGCAGCAGGAGATGGGTCCCCTGTATGATTATCTAGAAAAACACTGGTTCAGGTGTGGTAGAGTTCTGCACGTCTGAGAAATTAAACAACCAAAAAGATCTTGGTGTGTAGAGTTTCCAAGATGGATGAAGAGGTGAGCTGTTCTGCTGCCCGGAGCACCTTATTCATATCTTTAAACTGGGCATTGCCAGGGGAAGCATGGGAAATGCCTACCTCAGCACAGAGGCCAGCAGCTGGGAGACGTCCCACAGATGTGTGCTTGTCTCCGTCACAGACACTGACGTCACAAGCAGGGAGCCAGCACCAGGGGCGCCTTGTGCCCTGTGCCGTCAAGGCACCTTAGCTGCTTGCATCTGAGTTGTGCCCTGGAGGAGATGGAGTTGCTGGGTAGGATATTCTCCTGTGGCAGATGCAGGCCGGCATGCCTTGATGCTCTGGGCTTCCACGTGGCTGTACCACTCTGTCACTCGGGCCTGACAGCCTGCCTCCACGCAGCTCGATGGCTCGCTGTTTCTTCACTCGGCTGTGCCTCAGACTCCTAGGGAATATGACATCATGGAGACTGAGAGACAGGCAGGGAGGAAGCTATTGTGTGAGAGCCCCGGGGATGTGGCCGAGAAGGGGAGAAAAGGCAGCGTGGCTGAGGTCAGCTCCCGCCACCGCTCCCCTTGGCAGCATGTGGCTGCTCAAGCCTGTCTTGGCCGCTGACACACACCTGGCTCTTGGGTCTCGTCCCCCTGTGACCCTAGAATTCTTACCCTCTGTAGCAGGGCTGTCTCTGGAACAGGCACCAGAACATGTTTGTTGAATTTAGAAGTGAACGGTTCACTGTGGAGATGTGTGCTAAGAGGTGTGTATATAAAGCAGAGATGGGAGCTTCGTAGCTGCTTTTCTTCCTTAGGTGGCTTCTGAGTGGCCTTGCTATTAGAGGTTTAGCCCAAAGCCCACACCCTATGATTCCCACAGAGCAGGCTCATCCATATCTGTTGTTGTTGATTAAAATAAAATGAGTGTGGGGCTACATTGTTATTATTATCTCTATAATTATTGTGGTAGTGTTATTTGACCTGCTATCATAACTGATAAGGCACTGACACCTGTAGATTTTATAATTGCCTTATGACATTGGGCCAGGCAGATATTTTTACCTATGCTGTCTCAATAACCTCACCATCCATCTTCAAACCCCCATCCAATGCCATCCACCTTAACCATCTTCATCTGGGCTACCTCCCATCCATAATCTTATGAGTACTTGCTTTTATTCTTCATCTGGGCCTTTCCACTGTCCTAGCCCCTCCATGCTACCCTATCCTGGCATCCTCCTTCCCCATCTCTTCCCCTTCCCCTCCATCTGTTTCCCATGATTCTCTTGTCCTCAAAAGCCCAGGAAACCTCAGCCATGCTTACCCCATATTGCCCTGCCCAAGTATAGGCCATTGAATCAATCAGGTATGTCTTAGGCAGGTTTACACAAGGATAGGTGTATCTGGGGAGTAACCAGATCTTGAGGGCCAGCATCAGAACAACCCCCAACACATATCCCAACACACCAGAGGCAACAGTGAATGACAGAAAGAGAAAGACTTCATCAACATGGCTGCTAGTCACAATCCGAAGTACCGACAAAGGGCTTCATTGACCAAGGTCTGTCTTTGGGGTACCGACTTGAGCTGTAGGAGCTGTAGGAGCTGGCCAGAAGGGACAGGGATGCACGCTTCAGTGGTCAGGCAAGCATGCCCTGGTTGATCTTGTGTCTGTGAGTTCTTGTTCTGTGAGGCTTGTTACCGTCATTATTGAGAAGAATGATCTAAGATGATCTAAGATTATTGAACTAAGATGACTGCTGCAGCGGGCAGGGGGGGTTGCGTCTCATTATGGGGTTACATGTCTTTGAGGCTCTGCTGTTCCTGGAATCCAGAGTAATTGCAGGTTTACTGGACACCTTCGAGTGTCTTTTTTGGGTGATATTGGGGTATCTGGAACAGGACATTGCACAGTTTCCATTGCTCCTTACCCTTGACGGGAGGCGCAATGGTTGTGCTCAGGTGCTCATGGGTTATAGTATTATACTTTATACTTTATACTATATACTATTATACTATTGTACTATGGTATAGTATAGAGATCAGCATGCCAATGTGCAGGTTCAGCAGGCGATGAACTCAGAGGAGACAAGACACAAAATGGAGGCTTTTATTCTGCTTTTAGATATTTTGTGGGCCCAAGTGAAGAGTCTTTGTTTGTTTGGCAAATGGAGTTTTTAAGAACCTGACAGGGCCCCTGGCTTTGTCCTTTCCTTAGGACACCAATAAAAAGACAATCCATGCCAAATACTGCAGCAAATTCATCCACATGCCCTGGAAGGACGGCAACTTGGTCCATGTCAACATCACCAAGGTGAAATGCCAGTCGTACAGTGAGAGAATTCACATAGCCCTGGCCAGGATCCAAAGGAGGTTGGTATATTTATAGGTGGTCTCTGGGGAAATGCAGGTCTGTGTGACTTCTTAGGAAAAGCTCAACTGAGTGAGGTGGCCAATAGACACAGTCAAGTCAAAGTTCCCATCTGTAATGATTGAGGATGTTGTTAACAACAAAGGGATAGACTAGCATCCAGAGTTCAGCAGGAACAGTGGGAGGGCGCTCTTGTGTGCCTGTGTGGCTGATGTGGCTAGAGGGGGCCCAGAGGCTGATGTCCGTTCCTTTCTCAATGGCTCTCCACCTTAATTTTTGAGGCAGGGTCTCTCACTGAACCCGGAGCTCACTCGCTTCCGTGCTCCAGAGAGCTGCCTGTCCCAGTGTCCCCAGGAGTTGCAGACACTCACCGCCACACCTGGCTTTTGTGTGGGTGCTGGGGTGTGAGCTTTTGTGATAGACACTTTATTGATTTAGTCTCCTCAGCCTGCAGAGGAGCTATTTTGAAATGGGGTATTAGGAGACTAAGGAATGCTTCTGTCTGTGTTTTGGGGGTTTTGGGGGCCACGGGTATACTGCAGACGCCTGCCTCTATACTCTCTCTTACAGAACAATTTCATCTTTAGGAACCTCTTACATAGCTTTGATATTTTGAAAAACAATCAGATGCTATACATATCTTAGAAAACAGTTAAAACACACAACTTCTGATCTGTCTTTATCCTGTTGTGCTCTTATGATCTGCCTTGCCCACGAGCCTGCTATGCTGATGTTATGACCTCAGGGTTGACTTCATGTGGAAGATCTAAATTAACACCCTCAGGTTCCAGATGTCAGGGGACAGCTTTAGACCATGGTGATCAAATTCATTTTCGGTGTATTGTCTCCGAGGTCATAGAGAACTGGGAAAATAAGAAATTAAAAAACAAACAAACAATGAAAATCCCAGCTCTGCCACTTACTGTTTGGCCCCAGGCGAGTTAGTTAATGTCTTTTTTGCATCTGTTTCCTTGATTATAAAGTGGGAATAGTGATGGCATTTGCAATTTTTCTCTGTGGATTATGCCAGATGCTAACTCTAATGGGTTTCAGCCAGTGGCAGCCTGCCACGGCCATTTGAAAAGGAAGGCTCTCTCCACCCTCGGGCCGGTTTCATTACAAAACCATACGTAGCCGATACCCACCTGCCCAGTACGCATGCCCGGAGCCCCAGCATCTCAAAAGCCATGTGGCAATGGATTACTCACAGCAAGCTGTTCCTGTGTCTGGAGCCCTCTCTGCTATGGTTCCAGAGCTGTCTCTCTCTGAGTCGTTTGCGTTTCTTTCGGGAGACATGCTGTTTATAATGCACTCTCCAGCCACCAGGTCCCTTTGTCCTTTGCCCTCCCTGTGTCAGGGACAAGCAGGAGCCCTTTTCCTTTTCTGTTTTCTGCAGAACTGTGTGAGAATTGGCACCATCCCTAGCTTATATGTTTGACAGAATTCACTGCTAACACCATCGGAGCCTGGAGTTTTCTTCTCTGTGGAAAGATTTTGTGGCTCAGAACTTGGAAAGCGTTCCCTTTTCTTGGAAAGGGCACTATGAACTTCACTCACCCTGGTTTGTTGGTAGTATTGTACAAATCTTCCATACTGTTCCTGATTTTCACTTCAATTGTTCTATAAATTATTGAGAAAATTATTGAAATCACCGAGTCATTTCTGGGGCCATCAGCTTCACCCTACTGCTTCAAAGCTCTGTTATTTGGTGCATCTATGCTGCAGACTGTTATGCTCACTTGGTGGGTCAGCTCGTTTGTAATAGGAAATGCCCTATTCAGCTCTGCCAATATTCCTGCTCAGGAATGTGCCCAGTCTGGTATCTGAGTGGTCCCTCCACCTGAACACTCATGGTCTCTGCGCTCATCTTTTTCTGTCCTTTTCTCTTTGCCTGTCTCTGGCCTGTAATTAACCGGGCTTCTTGGAGACAGAACGTGCACCAGGATTGAAATGTTGCTTACATTTATTAGCTTAGTTAGATTTAAATCTGGGATCCCGTAATTTTTTTTTTTTCTGTTTGCTCTGTCTGCTTTTTGCTCACTTTTTAACTCCTGTGCCCTCTTCTAGTTCCTTTTTATGACTTTCTTTTGTCGCCATTGTTGTCGTATTGACCGTGTCTGTTAAGTTTTGTCTTGTTGCGTGTGGCTATTTGACATGTGCACTTTACACACTAACCTCCCAGTCTACGTTCAAACAAGATCATGCCGCTCTGTGTATGAGAACATTACAATGTCCCACCCTGCCCTTTATATGTGCGGCTTCTATGAGCCCAACAGTGCAGTACAAATAGCCCAGTGACCTAATCTAATGGCTAAGAATTAGAATAAATACATGTTGTATTTGTTCACACTCATTTCTATTGCTCTCTACTCCTTTATATAAATCCGAATTTCTACTGGGCCTTCCTTCATTTCTACCAGAAAACCTTTGTTAGCATCTGTTGTGGTTCAAGTCTGTTAGTGATGAATTGTATTAGCACTGGTAGAGTGCTAATACTCCTTTAATTTAACTTTTTTTTTTTAAATCTTTCTACTAAGTATAGAATTTTAGTTTGAAATTTTTGTCAGTTGTTTTTTTAAAAAATCTTCAATGTGTTCTGGCCTGTATGAGTTATGATAAAAAGACCTTTATTCTTAGACTTGTTTCTCTGAACACACTGTGAATTTTTCTGCCTCTGGCTGCTTTTAATCTCTGGATTTCATCAAATTCATGATTTTGTACTTTGCTGTGGTCTCTCTTCTCCCCTCCGCTCCCCTTCACTCCTCTCTTCTCCTCTCTGGGTTCTTTGACCTCCTTGGCTCTATAGGCATAATGTTTTCATCAAAATAGAAACATTTTAAAATATCTTTTCTATTTCTTCCTTTTCTGTCCATTGTAAAATCTCATTACAGACACACTTGTAGTATGTCACAAATTTTTTTTCCTAATTTTGTTTCACTTTGAACTGTTTGTTACCGCTATGCCTTAAATCAATTCCCTGATCTTTTTTCTGCTGTCTCGTTTACTGTTAATGCTGTATAACTTACTTTTCACAGCAGATGAATCCCCTGGGAGTCTCGGGAAGGCTCTTTTGAATCTTGCTTTTTTATTACAATTTGTAATTATACTTGAGAATTTCATACATCTATGTAATAAACTAGAACTGTGCCTAACGCCATTTCCCTCCTCCAAGCTGACCTGTAACCCTCACACGCCCTGCTCCCTTATATGCCTTCTCTTATTTTTTTAAATGACTACTGCATGCAGTCCGCACTGCTCATGTGTGAACGGCTATGAGGCTGCCCGATGGAGCTCAGGAAATGTATCAGGGAGTTCATGCCCCGAAAGAATGATTCCCTCAAGCCCCAGCAACTATCAGCGGTCCAAAGTTCCCCAGTCAAGTCTGGGGTCTGGAGACTGCCTCCCCCTCTGTGATGGGATCTTGACTGACCTGATCTCTGACGGATAGCCACAGCTGCCTTCCGTCCAATAGTGTGGCAGCCACGCCATGTTCAAGACAGCACATCATGATGCCCTTCTCCAATCTCCGTCTCCTACATTTTCTCTTCTGCAATGTTTAGGATCTTTTTTATGTCTTCTATGTCTCTTCTGGTTCTGTTTCTGGACATGTAAAATGAATTTGCAGTGACCACATAACACCCTTTTCTTTCTGCAAATTCTAACATGTGGGTTGCTTGGGGCTCTAAATAGAAATCTGTTGACCAGCTTTTCTACTAATTGTAGATATTTTCCTGTTTCCTGCCATGCCTGTAACTTATTTTCGATCTCTCTTTCTATTTTTTCTTGATTCTAGGCATTTTGAATTTTACACAGTGGGATGATGGACTCGTTTTGATAAGTATTTTGTGATAGTGTTAAGTTGCTTAGACCCAATTTGAGTCTAAGTCATACTTTTAAGTCACAAAAGCTGAAGTCCACAGTAGTCTTTATCTTAGGGCTGATTTGGTCCTACCAGTGAGGAGCGGCCTTGTGGGGATTCCACTTGACACTTGCTCTGACTGATGGGAAAATGACCCGTTCTTGGGTGTGTCAGCTCCAGTGAGCTCTCCTTGGATAAATTTTCTCCTTGGCTTTTGCGCTTTCTTCACACACATGTCCTCATCATCACAATCCAAATCTCTAGAGTACACTGCAGATCACCTGAGATAGACTCTCCCAACCCTTCTCCATGCCCTCCATAGCCTCTCTACCTTTCTAGAGTAGCTGCCGTTTGGTATTTTGCCCTGAGACTTGCTAAGCTCCATTCAATAAGACATCTTCTGTATCCTCTTCCTCCAATCCCTCACTGCAAGGCTTTTCCTGAAACTGTGAGTTTTAGTGCATGATCTTAACGGTTGAGCCATTTCTCCAGTCTCAAATAGAGGTTTTTTTCTATAGAAAAAAAAATCAGAAAGTGAATGATTCATTCATCCAAGGTCACAGTATAAATGGTTTAGCAGGACTCTGGGCTGTGTAAGTGGAGCCTGTGTTCTGATGATCGCAGGCTGCATTTACCTCAGCACTTTTTCCTGTCTAGGATTAAATGGCTACAAGATGGGAGCAGAGCCCTCTTCGGAAAAGTGCGTGGAGATAGCATCTACATCCTCATTGACACGTCTCACTCGATGAAGAGAAAACTGGACCTGGTGAAGGACAAGGTCATTCAGTTCATACAGGTAAGCTGGGACTGCGCTGGGCTGCTGTCTCCAACAGTCACTGTAGGGGCTCTGGGCAGGGGACAGGGCCACACTGCACTAAAGGGTCCCTGAGAAAGCCAACCAGAAATGCCCCCCTTTGCCCCCTCGGCGCTCCCTGGCGATCAGACCTGTGCCCTGCTGGGCCCTTTTGTCACCATCGCCCTGGATCACTTACGTGTGTGTCTGTCCTTCCTGCCTGGAGTTGTCTCTGACACGTGGCAAACAACAGACACCTCTATTGTTTTCCAGATGTTTATAACCTTGACATTGTAGATTTCCTGTGTCTATTAGGGAAACTGTGTGAACTGGCCCCAAAGTTACAGATGGGAAGGGGTAGGTAGGCTCGTGACGGACGCCCCAGTTTCCGTCTCACTCCCCTGGGCTGCCCCTGACTCATTTTCTTAGAAGGACGATGCTTCCTGAGTCCTGTCTCCATGCCTGCATTTCACAGTGCCGTCATGACTCCGTCCTGCTGACAGTGGAGACATGTTTCAGAAACACAAAATATAGCCCTTAACTAGCTTCCCGGGGAGCAAAGTAGGCGGGTGAAAGGCAAATGAATAGGTCTGTATTCAAATAATAGCCTTGGCCAAGATGTAGTGATCAAAACGACATTTTGAATTTTCTTTCAGCATCTAATAGGCTTATTCGACACAGCATGAATATCAGTATTAAAGTTAGTATTTGATGTCACAGTACAGTATTGCTTACGTATATAGACATAGCATATGACACTCTCTGTACATTCACAGATAACATCTATAGAGGTCAAACATCCAAACTATATAATTTTGGATTCAAATGCCTTTTGCAGCAGAAATGTTTTTTTTTTTTTCAATCAAACATAATTTTAAGCTAGTTTCTAGAACTGAAAATTGATAGCCTAGAGATGGCCTCAAACTGAAAGTTCTCTTTGCTTTCATTTGAGTTGTTTTACGGTTAAATAATAATTGTCTCTTACAGGACCAGCTGAAATACAAGAGAAAATTCAATTTCGTGACATTTGATGGTCAGGCAATCGCTTGGCGGGAAAAACTTGCTGAAATCAATAAAGATAATTTGGAACAGGCTCAGTTGTGGATTAGAGACATTAAGGTAAAATGTCTAGTCTGGGAGACGAGTGCGAGAGAAGTCTGAAAATGTCCTGTCTGTGCCGAGTTTACTTACGGGATAGAAGTTGTTGAGAAATGGATTGAGCTCCAAGAATGGCGGTGTCTATACATGGGCAATTATTTGGCTACAAAGGTCACATTCATCCAGTCTCATTAGTCAGATCGTAAAGTTTAGTCAAGCATCTATTTATAGTCATCATCCCGTGATAGCTGTGGGAGGCTGATCCCAGGACCTCACCTGAATCTCACAGGAGCCACAGAGGCACAAAGCCCTAATATAAAATGCTGTGAGATTTACAGAGAGCCCCCCAAACCTCTCTCATGCCCAAACTCCTAACACCCATGTAACAGGTGTTATCCTGTATCATTTAGGGAATACAAACAAGGCGGGGGAGCCTGTATATGTTCAAACAGTGTTTTATGTGTGTATGTTTATGTGTGGTGTGTATATGTATGTTAAATGTTTGTATGTGTAGATCTGTGTGTGTGAGTGTGGACACACATGTACCACAGAGCCCATGTGGAGACCAGAGAACAACCTGGTGTGTTGGTCCTCATCTTCTGTCTTGTTTTGGACAAGGCCTCTGTTACTTTGCTGCGTCCGTCCACCAGCGTAGCTCTCCTGCGAGCTTCTGAGAATGCTGCCTGAGCCTTTCACCTCGCCACAGGGGTCCTGGGTGATATAGATGCTCATGCTTGCACCCAGATGTTACATGTGTTCAAACTCACTATTTCACCGTCTGTATAGCAAGGGCTTTACCCATCGAGCTGTCCCTAACCCCAGACACAATCGTGTGTGTGTGTGTGTGTGTGTGTGTGTGTGTGTGTGTGTGTGTATGTGTGTGTGTGTGTGTGTGTGTGTGTGTATGTGTGTATGCACATTCGTGTGTATTCATTCCACAGTTGGTTGGACTTTTGGGTGTTTAGCCCTTGGACAAGGAGAGGTGGCTCTCTTTCCAAATCTGTCCTGGGCACCAATTGCTGCTTCGTGATGCAAACAGATTTCAGCAGATAATATGCAGCTGTTCCTAATAATGAATTTTGTTCAGAAGCACTGAGTTCACGGAGACAGACAGTACAGTCTGAGCACTGAAGGCTGACACCAAGAAGAGAGAGGACAGAAGCATACACGGAGAGACTGAAGTCATTCCTCAGGCCTGCGTTTTCTTGGAGACCTGGAAAGCTTTTGTTTCTTGTCACACAGGCTATTGGGAAGGATTTTCATTTCAAATTTTCTCCAGCCTTGAGCTTCTCTTAATTTTGAATATGCTCCAGAACCATATGGTATTCCAGATATTCGAGAGACAGTTAAAACTGAGACAGGGCTATTAAAAAGTTGTTTAAAATAGCTTACTGCCCGAGCCTAGAGTCCTAGATGTGCCCGTCAACCACACCAGACTTTACCTGAGTTCCTAAGTCCTGACTGATCCTAGCAGGCCCAGGGAGACACTGGGAAGCCCCAAGATCTTTTGGGGTAGCCTTTGAAATGGGGAAAGAAGGAAGTGTGGTGTCTGAGAAGAAATCTCTTTAACTGGCCGACTTATTCTAGGGTGGAGTTTCAAGGTCATATCCAACTTGTTAAGTTTGCAGTATTACCAACGTTCTTTTCTTCTGGAAACCACCAGTAATAGGAGCGACACTGTTACCTGGCAGCTTGCAGTGTCTCCGCAACCTCCCCCAGCAGTAGCTTCTCAGTGTTTCTGGGGTTTATATGATCTTTATGCGTTTGGTATTTTCTAGAATGTTCTTTGGATTTTTGTCTTTTGTTTTGTGACACTGGAGTTTGAACATGGTAGGCAAGTGTTTAAATTGAGCTCTAGCCCTTTAAGGTTTTCAGTTTGACGTTCGTGTTGCTAAGGTGCCTAGGCTGGCCCTGAACCTGAAGTCTCCTTGTCTCAGTGTCTGAAGTAGCTGGAATTACAGTTGTGTGCCACCATGCCCAGCTCTTTCTTGAGACAGTCTCTTGCTGTGTTACCCAGGCTGGCCCCAAATCCAGCCTCCTACTAGCCTCCTGTGTCATTTCTTTCTTTCCACTTGCTTGGAGTGGGCGTTGCTCTCCTTTGTTAGCATACTATTTATCTGCTTTATTTGGGTTCCTTCCACCTCTGCCTCCTTTCTCCACCCCAGTCCCTTCCAACACCCGACAGCAGATAGGAGAGGAGGGTTAGTGGGGAGAGGGGCATAGGTCTCTTTGGCTACTTCCTGCTGGTCAGAGTTATCGAGTTTCTTCGGGCAAGTCCAATCTTTGTTTCAGGGTATCTCCGGCTTCTCATCAAACTGTATCAACAGCAACAAGGAGCAGCAGAGGGAAGCAGGATCTTTCTTCTTTCTCAAAGCCCTCTCCTCTACTCTGGGCTCTGGCGTTTATGTTTCCCAGAGTCCTCAGCATTAAACCATCTGCAGCTGGCAAAGATCATGTCCCTCTCAGAGCCCGCATGAGGCAGATAGCCTGCTGCCGTGGACAGTCTGAACCAGCATATCCTACACCAAAAACATGTTTACATAACAGAACTGGGGTTTTAAAGACACCAAAGCTTCTACTGCAACTCCTTTTGAAGGCTCTTTGGTTAGTAGAATAGATTGCTTTCGGAGGTGCTCCTATTGTTCCAGTGTAAACTACTAATGGGCACAGATTTTCCCATCAGCATTTTGGCAGCCACATTTTATAGATTTACCCATTTTACTTAATTTTCCATAATTTCTATTATGTTTTAAATTTTGTATGTTTTCTTTTTCTGAGCCATAATTAAAAAAAAAAAAAAGCCAACCACTATTTGATTTCCAAGTTGTTGTTCTGTTATTAATTTTGACTCCATGATGGCTGAAGGCATACTTGGCAAGATTGAAATTCTTTTTAAATTTGTAAAATGTTTTTGATAAAAAAAATTAAAACAGTGGAAATTATTAAAAATTAAGTAAAACACTTAGTGTGTTTTACATAGAGTGTGGCTACCGCAGTGCTGGGTATTAAAAGAAATAACCATCATTGGACACTGCTCTGTTTTTTCTTAGCTCCATCACATTTTGCTTTGAGTATTTTAAAACTCTGTTGTTTGGTGCATAAGTATTTCGAGTTTCTGTCTTTGTAGATTGAAGCTTCTATCGTTATTTAATGTCCCCTTTTTGTCCTCAGTAATTTTCTCTGCTATGAAGCGGGCAGTAAGCAAGGCCTTGTAATATGTGCGCATCCCAGAACTTGGGAGGCTGGAGTGGGAGGGTTATTACTTGGGAGCCACCTAGAAAGACTTTGTCTCAAAAACAAAAATTTAACCCAAAACAAAAGCCAACAACCCCAGACAAAAACCTGAAGCATACTAAGTGTGCTGTTAACGTGGCTATTGCTGCTTTGAAAAGAAGAAATCTATGACGTATTGCTTTCATCCCGTTACCTGCAGTTTATCCGTGTTGCTCTATTTGAGGCTTTTGCAGACCTTAAGGGAGCTGTCTGTGATCTTGTAAGTTCTCCGGTCTGTCAAGTAATGGGTAAGAGAGCCGCATGTCTGTGCTCTTAATATGTAAGGCTCACGTCTATAGTTTTGTTATTGGCTTATTGTGTCTCTTTAGTTTTGTTCTTCTCTCTCGCCTTCTCGTGTGTCCTCCGGTTACTTTTCATGTTCCATTTTCCCTTTTACACACGCTGTATGGTTTTCTAACGGCTTGTTCTAGTGGCTTTCCTTATGCAAACTGTCATTTATTACGGTTGCTGATACTGACGTATTCCGACGCCAAATGAACAAGCCAGATTTCAATTTACACCCTTTGTGGTCCATCTGCCTTAAGAGATGGCTCTTCTGTATACGACCATTAGATGCCGTAAAGCCTGCCTAAGCTGTAACACATGACTGGAGAAATTTAGGGATTGAGGATGGCCTTCCGTAATGAACCCCGTGGTCAGTGTTTGAGTTTCTGTGGTTGCTCCTTTTGAGCTGTACATTTTCGTTAGCCACCCTTTGAAGATGACACTCTCATAGTTCCCCATCAGCCACAAGTAGGTATTTCCACCAGATGCGACTTAGGACTGGGGAGTCATTTCTTTCCACACTTGAAACAATTTGGGCTGCTTCCTTATGGCTCTGGTTTCAGATGAGAAGTGGCTGCCACCCAAACTGGAATTCCTTACTGGGTGCTGTAATATGCTGTTTCTCTTTGGGTGTTTATGAAGAGTTTTGTTTTGTTTTGTTCTTCTTCTCTTTAGTTTTTAGAAGTTTACATACAATGCATCCAGCTATGATTTTCATAGATTTTTAACCTAGTTGGGTTGTCTCAGCTTCTTGAATTGTAGTTTTTACACTTTTCAGCGTATTTGAGGACTTTTAAAAAAAATAAAGATTTATTTTCATTATTTGGAATTATGTATGTGCAAGTGTGTATGAAGTGGGAATGTGTGCGTACGTGCAGGAGCCACACAGGTCAGAGGCGTCACATGCCCTGGAGCATTCACACGCGCGTGTGAGCTGCCTCCCAACATGTGTGTAGGGAAGTAAATTTGGGTCTTCTGCAAGAAGAGTACACACTTGTAACCCCCAAGTCATCTCTCCAGCCACTTGGGGAATTTTTTTAAAGCCATTCTTCTTGGATATTTTTTAAGCCCTTCATTCTCCTCTCTCTCTCTTTCTGGGCCTCTTACGGTATTAATATTCCATCAGCTTTATTGTCTCGGGTCTCTGGGGGCATCCACTGACCACTTTTCTCAGACAAAAGAGCTATTTCTAGTTCTTTGTATGATGGGTGATTTTTCTGTATCGCATTCTGGGCAGTTTGATTACTATGACAGGAAACTCTAATCTTCTCGTTCTGCAGGCAGATTCCGAATTTAGGTCCAGCCTGTTCAATCCAGTTTACACTTGTGGGCTTTCACTGCAGTTTTCCGAGCCTCCTCATACCACTGGGTCCCCCATTCAGCTCCCATTTATGGCTGGTGGAAGGCATATCCCAGGCTGCCTGCAGCTGGTGTCTGACCTTCTGGGGACACAGGAACAGGAGTTGCTAAGGCTGAGTCTCCTTGAGCCACAGCGTGGAAATGCAGGAACGCTCCGTGCTAAGCCCAGGGCGTGCTCACTGGATGCTTTTATTATCTTCAGTAGTTCGACCGCTTTTCCAGCGTGTGCCTTCGTTTGGACGCTCTAGCAATGCCTGTTTTGTTCTCCCAATTCTGAAGAAAATGGGAAGCAGGCCCCATCACAGTCTCTATTTGCCTGCTCGCCCATGTCAGCTCCATGTTAAGGTGTCTTCAGCTACCCAGCCAGCTATGCAGCCTGTGCCAGGCATCACCGTGGCGGTGTTACCATGACGCCTGGTGATGTTTCCAGGTCTCCAGCACTGCCGTAGGAACCCCGCTCAAGACAGTGTGGTCCAGTTTGGTAAACCGTGTTCTGGTTTACCAGCATGGTGCATGGCAGAGTGGGTCTTGGGTGCTTACTAAGCATCCACGGAGAGTGAGTCTAGCGTCTGGGCTTGAGCAGCGTTTAACAGAAAGAACGTTTAAGACACATGTGAGGCTTAGCAAGACTTGGCTGTGAGCTGGGTCTTGTCTTCCTTTGGGTCGTCATCTCCATCTTCTTATCCGATTCTTGTAAGGGAGGAGAACTGTTCACCACCTGGAGGCTGACACTCTGGCCTGCCTTCAGCTCAGGGGTAAGTGTGAGGCTCAGGCGCACAACCTCAGGTCAGCCTCCTGGATCTGAGTGGAGAGGCAGCGACACACATGGCGTGTCTCCCAGCGAGAACCATGGCAGCGGCGGCACATGCAGACCGGCGAAGCTTCTTGGGTGGCAAAGGCAGTGGGCTGCGGGTCCATCTCACGTCTGACAGTCCCTGGTTTGGTGTGGCTAACCACACATCTGGAGTCCTGGTGGTGTTGTAGTGGGGCCCCTGCCAGGCAGGCGTGCGGCAGGACTGGGGCCTTTGCTCCATGGTGTGAGGTCCCAAGCTAGTTTCCCTGCCAGATGGCAGTTCTGTGAACCATCCGGATGCCCTCTGCATACATTTCCTCTGGCTTGGATCAATCCCAGTTGTTTTTCTTGTGGTCAAATTGATACCCTGTGTCTAAGATGAGGGGAAAGGCTTAAGTGGGCTTTGGAAATCTTGCAGTCCTGTGTGTCTCATGGACAAAGATTAGTAAGGCTCGTTTTTAGATGTTAAATAAAATGCATTCTATTGAATCTGCATTTATCTGGTTTCATCCCATTCTGTACTGAGTCATGAGAAATTCTAACTATTGTTTTATGTGTTTGGTGACATTGTTAAAAACCTGTCATTATTTCTTCTTGACACACAATGTGCTTGTTCTTTCTTTATATACATATATAAAGAATTGTGGACAGTGCTATGGTTAATGTTATATGTAAGAGAGAAAAATAAGCCGTAATTTATTTTCCTTGACTGATTATGATTTTAATATATGCAGTTAGCCTTCAGTAGCCATGGGGAGCTGATCCTAGGATTATCCCCCTCCCCATGGATACCAAAATCGACAGATGTTGCATTTATAAAATGGAGCTTGTTTGTGTCTGAACTACGCATATCCCTTTGTACACTTTCAATCACCTACAAGTTACTTATATCTAACACGCTATTGCAACTATACATGCTATAGTTTAGCAAATACTTATTTTTCTCCCTGAATATTTCTCCCAAGGCTATGGGTTGTCAGCTCTGTTACTTTGTTTATTTCCATCATACACAGAGCAGAGCATGAGGACCCCAAGCGTACACACAAGACTGGGTAATACAGCCGTGCACTTTAAGGAGCATCCACCCTAACCTTTGTAGACTGAATATATGCTGGAAATGCTCATGTGTTCATCATTAGACCATCAATGGGACCACACTCATGTCTGCCAAATCCTGGGTGGCACAAATAAATCCTGAGTTAAGACAAACACCAGCCCAAGCAGGATGTTCTTAGGCGGCTTGACGAAGCGCCGACAGCAAAACCATCCTGAGTGAGCCTCTCACACAAACACGCACAGATGAAATTGCCCTGGGACCCCTGTTGTCAAGACAGGAAGTCCACAGCCATGGCTTCAAGCAGACCTTGGACCTTAGCTAGAGACTCTGATGGCACACCTTGGGATTTGGCTTCTCGAGCTCACTGGCCTTCCTCCCTTCTCACGGAAGCCGAGGATTTCAATGGCTTGTGTCATCTCTCTTGAGCATCTCTTTTTTCCCTCCACAGGCCGGCAGTTCCACGAATACCCTGAAGGCCCTGCAAATTGCCTTTGCTGACAAAGGGACACAAGTAATCTACCTCTTGACAGATGGGCGACCCGACCAGGTACTCACTGAAACTGGTAATGACAGGAGGAAGACTGTCCCGAAAGGGAATGCTGTGAGGGGGCTTTAGGTCTGTACAGGTCTTCTCTGCCACAAGGCAGAGAAGCCGATCTTGCTGACTCAGAGCTGTCATCCCCCTGCACAGGAGGCTGAGGCAGGAGGATGGCAAGCCCAGCGTTTGCTTGGTTATAGAATGAGAGCAAGACCAACATAAGCAACTAGCAGGACCCCGTCTCAAAATTTGGTTTTGAAAAAAGAGGGTTGAGGCTGCAGCTCAGGCATTGAGTACCTGCTTAAGCATTTAAGGGACTCTATTCAATATTCAGCGCCCTCCCCAACCCCAGAGACACCGAGATATTACCCTGGCATAGAAACCCAGTGCCGAGGTAAGGAAAGACACCAAGCAACCCCCTTGCCTTCTCTAACTCCAAGAAACATTTATGGACAGAGAGATGGTGGAGACTATTTGAGGCTTAATGTGAGCCACATTCACAGGCCTGGAGACCATGTCCAGGGAAGGAGAGGCCTGCCTTCCGCTGCACACTGGTTTATGTTTTATTGCAAACTAGGGCTGCGGAGATTGCTTTTGATTTCTTTCCTTTGAGGACTTAATCTAAACATGTCACTGGGCAATGTCCTTGGTTCCATATCTAATTTTAGCTTCGCCCTCACTTAAACAAAAGCATGCCTTTCAACTGAAACGCTCTTGGCTTTGTTTAGCCTGCCTGAAAGACATTTGAAAAGTTTTAGAAGAGTCTGTTCTGTTTCTTTTGAGCTTTGTGAATGAGAGACGAGTGCTCCAGGCATTAAGTAAATACGAGGATTTTCCAGACCAGCACATGTAAATTGACTGCTAAAGTGAATTAGTATCAACATGTATCCTGCCTTGGAAGATGTTTATATGTGCAGACTGCCTATTCTAAAATACCCTGTGTCAAATGGCTCAAGGATTAAATACTGAAGCCACCGGATTTTACCACTGCATTAGATTTAGGGCAGAGAAGTGGCGCTTTAGTGAAATTCAATTTGGAATGCTTTTTCTGTCAGCGTCTCTGTGCTCTCTATTCAGAAGCAGCCCACGACTCTTGTGTATCCTGAGTGGTGCCAAGGTTGGAGGCTGGAAAAGTGATCCTGGCCTGAGGGAAGTTTACCCATAGGGAATGTGTTACGTGTATACAGTTCATTTTGATGTGATCCAGGGCCTGAGCTTGTCTGGTGAGTGTCTAGTAGCACAGAGGGATGGATTTAGCAACACAAGATGGACAGAAAACCGGGGAGGGTTTTCTAGTGTGTGTGTGTGTGTGTGTGGGTTGTACTGTGTCTGGAAAGGAGAGAGAGAGAGAGCCTTTTGAACAGAGGAGAGAAAATTGTGCTGGGGGGGAGGGTGTGCAGAAGGGTGGGCATGTGGGGAGAAGGCTGCACTCAGAAAACCAGTCAGGGTGAGCTGGAAGGATGCGATGTGAGGTGAGGAAGGTCAGCTGGGGACTGCTGCCCAGGTTTACAGGGTGAGTGTCAGCACAATAGGGTGGTGACACCTTTCGCTCCTCCATTGTTTGGAACATGCCTCAACAATGTCAGGGAAAGTTGGCTGTGCCACAGCTGCTTCTGGGACCTTGACAAGGGCCCAAAAGCAGTATCAGCTGGCAGCAGAGGGATTGGGGACGAAGAGACTCACTGTAGAATCCCCAGGGCTTCGTGCCCAGTTTGGGAGCAGGCAGCAGGGGAGAGGAGCAGGCGGGAGGAACGCAGAACTCACTTTTAGTAACCCAATTGGAAGTTCAATTAGGAACAAACAGGTTTGGGGTACTGGCGAGCAGATTGTACGCTTGTGCTACATGGAAGCCCAGAAACCCCAAGAAATGTGAGGTTCGGTATCTCAGGAGTTCCAACATGATAGATCCCTCCACGTGAGGGTCTAGGCTCTCACATTAGTATACCCAAAATGCATCCGTGTAGGCTTCTGAAGATGAGCAGCTTTCCCCAGACAGACTGTGGCTCATTCAAGCACGAAGCACCGAGGAGGTGGCAGTTAGAATCTGAAGACTAACAATTACCTCAAATGTAACTTACAAATGCTTGAAAGTGTGCATGTCTACCTTTCCACACTTTTGCATTGCCTCGAAGATACATCAGATGTTTGTGTTCTGTGTAGACTGTATCAGGAAGTCGCACCCAGTCTCCGCTGTGTTAGTGGCGAGAGGAAGGAAGCTCAGGCCAGAACATGGCTCAGGAGCCCTGGGGTCTCTCAGGATATTCTTCCTAGGAGTTCAGCTCAAGCGAGGGAGGAAGCAAGGTGGGAGGGCTTGAGTTCACTTGTCACTCTTCACCAGCTTTGAGGGGCTCCCTGTGTGAGGCCGGCGTGATCCGACATACACAGCAGTGCTTCGGATCTGGATCTGTGGACATGTGTGTACCACGTGCTTACGGGGTCAGGCCAGCATCAGAGAGTGAAGACCACCTTTCAAATGGCTCATGTTACAAGCATTCCAGAAGTGTCAGCCTTCCTTAGGATGGCAAGAGTCCCATTACACAGGTGTTCTCTGGCAGGCGCGGCGGAGTCTGGGCCAGCTCTGGCTGTGGTCATCTTCAGGACTCCTTCAAAGTCAAAGTCTTTACAAGTGGACGTGATGAATACTTTTGCATCCTCCTAAAATAAAAGTAATGGACAGAGTCTGACATGGGCTCTGCAAAGTCTAGGGGATGGGGAGGCCACGTGTGAGAGGCCAGCTAGACCTTAAGGTAGCAGGGGAACCCAGTTTCCCACCTTCCTGCTGCTCTGGGTTGGTGACGGAATGCAAGCTGCGTCTCTTGCTGCTCAGCATCCTCTTAGGGACTGAAGAGCTGGCAGCCTCTGTGAGAAAAGCAGGAGAGAGTCCCTGGGCTGAGGACAGCCTCCTCGGTGTTTCATGGGAGTGCGAGAGGCAATGGCTCCTCTGCCCCGCAGCCCAGAGGAGCCTGTCAGGGAAGCATTTGTGAAGAGTTTGAGGGAGCCAGGCTCCCTGTGGACAGGTCAGTGTTGACCTGGGCCTGCCTCTTCAGTACTCCGGGGGTGGGAAGCAGCTGCAGCAAACTTCAGCAGGCAGAAGACAGGAATGGCTAGTTCGTTGCCTGGAGCTTGAGTGCCAATCCAGGGCACACGTTTGCACTCCCCAGCCCCCCAGGTGCCACAGGAGATACTGGAACACCATGCTTGTTTAGCACCATGGGGCCTGGGGCTGGTGCAGGTGGTTGGCTCATAAGGCCACTCCTAATGTGCCCTCCCCTCTAGCTGGGTAGAGCAATGGAAATAATCACCCAACGCTGTCCATCACAGCATCCTTGGACAAAGGTCCGTCAGCCAGAACTTTCTCCACTGTGGTTTAAAGCTAGTCTTCCTTCCTCACAGGGTTGCTCTGAGGAAATAAACGATATGAGGTTTCCATAAATATTGACTGAGTACCACGGCTTCTTGGCCTGCAGTTACAAAATAGTGAGCAGGATGAAAGAGGGGCTGGCCTTCAGTGGAGCTTTTGGTAGAAGGAGAGGCAATGAGCTGATAAATGCATGGTGTCCTATAGCTAATGAAGGGAGACACCAGCTATGGCTCCCATCCTGGAATGATAGCACTGTTGTTTCCTTCCTTTTTCAAGCATCTTGGCTGTAAGTCTACAGAAGAGCAGTGCCTTGCTGTGCTGGCACCAGCTATTTGATTAGCAGAATGTAGGCATGTCTCTTGTCTGCTTTGTAGAGTTGAGGAGCAGAGGCTAAATGTTTCTAGTAAGAAATGACACCTACATACCTTCCTCCAGAGGTCATAGAACAGGGAGCAACCAGGCACAGCTCTTAGAACTCAGGGGAGCTGAGCTGGAACAGGCCGGGGTGGACCCTTCTCTCAGGCTGTGTGGTTGACAAGAGAAGTAGGGTCAGCTTGTCAGCCACATCCAGTTAGTGTCTGGCTAGCAAACCAGCTGACGGTCAGAGGAAATGCGTTAATGAGTAGGCGTAGACCCGAGGCTGGCATTAAATACAGACTGAGGATATGTTTGGGTGAGGGCTTTGGCAACCTCAATCTCCTGGGACCACATAGACAGCAGCCTCCCCAGGGAAGCACAGCTCACTGTCAGCAGAGTCCCCTCTCATTCATCTCCCTTTCCCTGGGGCGTCATGGAAAAATTGATGAGGCAAGGTTAAAGGGCAAAGGGCCGGGACCACAGGTAGAAGATGGAAGCGTCTGAAGGAGCTGGCAGGGCAGATGATCAAGGAGGAACTCCTAACACTGAGAATACAGTGGAGGTCCTGGGACAGCTGGAGACAGTTTCTGAAGGCACTAGCTGGGCATGGTGGGGGAGACAATGGCAGAGGATTTCTTTCCTGGGAGGAAAGCAACGGCACAATGACTTGATCCTCACCAAGAGGCCATCTTTATCATACACCAGGGAGCAGACCATCTGTCAATGCCACTCTCGCCGAGGAGTGTGTGTGTGTGTGTGTGTGTGTGTGTATTCCAGTTTTACCACCAGAGAACTTGGTGACATTGGGAAAGCTAATTGTACAGAGCCCCAGGTTTTCCAGCATACAATGGCGGTGCTAGCTATGTAGCTGTGTGGCACTTGGAGAGAATAACTGGGGAAAAGGCAGGGTGGCAGGGGAGTGACAGGCATCAGCAGGGGTGGGAAACCCAGCTGCAGCTCTCCTAGTTGTACAACCACCCACCCATGTGTCCTGGAAGGTGGCTTTCTCTTGTCCTCACACTACACCATCTTGGATTCTTGTGGTCCCAGCCTGGCTGCTGCTACTCACGGAGAAAGATCTGTTTTCCAGGAATGGAGAAACACATGAGCCTCTTTTATTGGTCTTTTTTTTTTTTTAAATTGAGAAAGGAAATCTGTCCCTGAGAACTTGTAGGTCTCATTAGTCAGAACTGGGTGGTTTGTCATTCCTAACTGTGAAAGGTAGCTTGTTCTGTGTTATCAGTGAGGATTGTTGTGCCTTTTATTTTTATTTTTTTAGCTGAGAATATTATCATCATGAAAAGAAAACCTGTGTCTTCATAGTTAAAGAGAATGAGAGGAATGGATGGAGCTAGGGGCCCTCATTCCTTCTAAAACTACCTCATACAATGCTTGAAAGGCTTAACTGATGACTGTAAGGCATAACCAAAAATGTAGCCTGGCTTAACCTGCTGTTGCTGCAAAGAGTTACCATGATCATGGGAGCACTTGTAAAAGAAAGCATCTAACTGGGGCTCACTTACTGTTTCAGAGGCTTAGTCTATTATCGTCCTGGCAGGGAGCTTGGTGGCTCACAGGCAGACCTGGTGCTAAAGAGGGAGCTCAGAATTCTATACCCGTCGACTAAGGTGGCAGGAAGAGAAAGTAACACTGGGCCTGCCCTCAACTTCTGAACCCTGGAAGCTCACCACCAGTGACACGCATTGGCCAAGAAGGCCACAAGTCCTCCAAAAAGGTCACACATCCTAATCCTTTCAAATGAAGCCACTCCTTACGAGCATATTGGGGCTGGTTTTGTTTGTTTGTTTGTTTGTTTTTGTTTTTAATTCAAACCACCACATAGGCCCTAAACTGAATACCAGTGCTTGGAAGAACTTTCAACAAATGGTTCTTCTGTTTTTCTCTCCCTCCATCTCTCAGAAGCAAATTGCCTACAACACAGCAAAAGCCGAAATTACTCTTTTAACAGACATTTGGGAAACCGGGGACCCACTGTGTGGAATCCCAGCGGCAGGGTCTTCTTGCCATAGATCCCCAGCACATAGCCCAACTGGCACAGCCTCCACACTTACGCGCACTTAAAGTTGAGCTGCTTCTGTTGGACAGAATCTTTTCCTTCACCGTGTAAGACTTTGGAGGGACTTGCCCATGGCCTTTGGGTCTCCATGCTCCCTGGTAGGCAGTTTGCTTATCAGATTGAACTAACATAAACAAAACGTCACTCACTATCTGAGCTACTCCTGCCTCAGACTTTGACAAATTCTGCCTAGGGACAATACTAAGAGTTTTCCGAACGACGCCATTTTTCTTTCTCTTTTACCCTTCCCCGTTTCCCTTGTTGTCACTTCAGCCGCCAGAACAGGTGATGGAGCAGGTCAGACTCTTTCAGAATATTCCTATCTGTGCCATCTCCTTCAACTACAACGACGAGGCTGCAAATGAGTTCTTGAAGGAGCTTGCTGCTTTGACCGGAGGGGAGTTCCGAACTTATAACTTTGGTTGCAAGGATCCCATCCTTCAGGATATTCAGGTGTGAGCTTGATCCACTGTGCAAGATGGTTTGTTCATTCATTCGTCCACTCATTCATTCATTGGAGTGTCACCGGTGTGGGAGGCCAGGGTCAGCACCTGAGCTGGGGGAGTGTAGCCATATACAAACCTACCTAAACCAAGATGCACTAATGATGTCCCAGTGTTTCTCCAAATGTGGCCCAAGTGACAATGTAGACCTCAAGGTCACAGGTACAAGCCAAAAACTCCTGTAGCTATAATGGCCCAAGGACCTTAATGAATTTCGTTCTCTTCTATTTTTCTTTGTGATAGGAAGTTTCAATTATACACAAAAATATAAAAGTACGTGGATCCACTTTAACCACCCCTCAGCTGAACAATTAGGAATGTTTGCCAAAGGTCAGGGGTCTGTTTAAAGAAACAGGATCCCAGGGATCTGTACGTAAAGTGTTTTTTCTTTTTTTAATTTTTCAAAAATACATCGTTTTATCACTTTTGCGTATAGGTGTTTGCCTGCGTGTACGCCTGCGTGCCACATGCATGGCTGGTGCCTGCGGAGGCCAAAGATGGCTGCAAGTGCCTTGCGGTTACAGATGGCTGTGAGTCGCCATGCGGCTGCTAAGAATAGAACCCGGGCCCTTTGCAAGAGCAGCCAGTGCACTTAACCACTTAACCGCTGAGCCATCTCTCCAGACCGCACATGTAAAGGCTTTTAACTACTGCTGGATGAACATGGGTGTAGGAAACTTTCAGAAAACTGCAAATGCTCAGCGGCCACCTCCTGACCTCTCAGGTTGCGTAGCCTGGTGACCACTGACGAGCAGTCCACACCAGTGGCAGCTCAGGGAAGTTACACAGCCCTCCTCCGCAGTCCCCGCCTGAGGGCGCACCTCGGGAGTCCTCTGCAGAAGGCGGCCTTGCTGCTTTTCCCCTTCTTGCACACCCATGGAGACACTTACTGGGGGTTATCAGGACAAATCAGAGACTGGAACACTCGGACAGAGGAGTCTGGGAACTGGGCGAAGCAAAAGGCTCAGAGGGAGGCACGCTCCTGAACCCCCAAGGCCGGGCAGCTCGGCGGCTTGAGCCGGTTCCTGGGGGTGTAGCCTCTTCACTGACACATTGTTGGCTGGAGTATAGAACACAGCGAGGCTGGAAAGCAGTCTGGCAGTTTCCATAAAACCAAATATTTAATCCCTGTACGATGCGGTCCTTGGTCTCCCGGCATGCATTTCAGAGGAGGAAGGCATGTACTCAGATGAAGTGTAAGCAACCCTACATCTATCAAAGAAACTGAGTTCATAGCTAAATGGTTTCCTCAAAGGTGGCTCCAGCCCCAGCTGACCTCACAGCCGAACTGTACCAAATATTTAAGAGAGTAACACCAGTTCATACTCAAGGATCTGGCCCGTAATGAAACAAAGATGATCTTTGTAGACAGATTTTCCTAAAGCGTTGAGAGGAGGTAGTGCTTCCCACACTCCCACAAGCCCATGAGACGCTGTTATTCTCAGGTATAAACATGCAAAGCTGCAAACATGACTTAACAAATAAAAGCGAACACGTAAAACCTCTGATGCTCCATGGCCCTGCCGGCCTTGTTGCTGAAGTGCAGTGCTGGCTTAAATTTGAAAAGCAGCACGTTTCATGTTTTGTTTGCTTTCCATTGTTTTATTTTACGTGTGTGAACGTTTTGCCAGCATGTGTGTCTGGACCCTTGGAGGAACAGAAGAGGGTCCCCCGGAGCTGGATCACACAGGTTTGTTCCTGTGGGAGAGCGGCCAGTGCTCTCAACTGCTGGGCCGTCTTTCCAGTGCAGTGCTGTTATTTTTATTTATTCTTTGAAAAATCCGTGCATGTACGAATCCTCCACTATTGTCTTTGAACTCTCTGGGGACCCACCAACCCGCCCCCCTGATGACTTCATGTCCTTTTACAAATGTAACTACCAGCTTCCTGAGCCCAGTTGGCACCAACTGTGTGAATGGGTGTGTGGCCACCTACCGGGTCACAGGCAGCTCTTGAGCCTGGAGAGCTGGCTCAGTAATTAAGAGCGCTTGCTCCTCCTCCCCAAGCCCCAAGTGCAGCTCCCAGCGCTAGCATGGCAACTGACAACCAATTCACCCGTTTCCCACTCTCGTCCAAGGTGTTTGCGCTGTCCCAGGAGCTTGTGACACAGCTATTTTGTCATTTCATCAGGATGAAGATCTGAACCTCTTGCTGCAGGAAATGCAGCAGGGCTACAGTGACCTGGAGAAGATGCAGGAGCTGTACGCTGAGTCCCTAGTCATGGACTGGTGGCACAACAGGGAACAGGGCAGCAAGTGAGTTCTCAAACCACCTGCCTCTCCCCTGCTCCCACCCCACCCCATTCCCTTCCTGTTCCCTGCCCCCACTGGCCCCTCCTGCTCTTCCCTTTCTGAAGGGCCTTGGGGGATCAAGTGAGGGGAGCGTCAGTCTGGTCGTGTTAGGGTTTTTTATGGGAAGAGGGTGACCTAGTGGCAGCTTAGAAGTCATATATGCACCTTGCAGTCCCCACCTCAGGGCTGCCTGAGGGCTGGGCTTCATTCTGTGTAACTTTGATAGGCACCTTAACTTCCTCTCACACCTTTTCATGACCCCGGATCTGTTTCCTCATTAGGGCTGTGGTGATAGGTTTGGGAAAGACACTTCTTCAGTGTCTCTCCAGCTTATATCATGCTTCTGCTCATTTTCGGTACCAACAAAATCCCAACCAATCCCAACTCTCTTTGTAAATGTGCCAGATCTGATTAACATTTCTTAGAGTTGTTTGTACAGATATTCCGGCCTGTTCCTCTAGGAGAATATCTAAGAGGGAGATAGCAAACGGAAAGGCTGAAAATTCATATTAACCAAAATTTTTTATTCTTCTGAGCAAAGTCTTCCTTACTAACAAACTTAGCATTAACACAGGCACCAACGTGGGAGAAAGAGAGCCCTGTCTTAGAAGGCGACGCTGTGGTGTTTTCTGTTGGGGATTTGTGGAAGCACAAATGTGCGTGCTTCTAAATTTTGTGAATAAACTGAAAACCAAATGAGTAAACATCCCTGGAGTATAAGCTAGCTTCTCTGTTTTCACCCAGCACCTTAGCTGTCTTCCTTGTTTAAATCTTAGCAAAATGGCCAGCTTTTGCTTAGAGCCTGGGTTCTGTTAGTTGTCTGTTATCTGAGTAGTGAATTTGGTGCTTTGTGTTTTCTGTTTCAAGGGCTGGGAGGACCAGATGTTAGAGTCAGAGACTTTTACTATTGCGGCTGTCACACTCTGGGTAGGTTACTCGGCCTCAAGGAGGCTGTTTCCCCAGTTGTAAGGTGGGAGAGGTGGTGACAGGAGGCTGAGTGTAGGAACTCACAGGAGGAAAGAGCAGAAGGCCACGCCACAGTCTACAGAAGTCACGGCCCTTGGCTTCCTTTTTCATTTAATGACATTAGGACCGTGATCTCTCCCACTTATCTATTAACAACACTGCACCATTTTGAAGTTTCCCTTTGGGTGTGAAATAAATAAATAACAAAAAATATAACAGCCTCCATTTTTGTTTTTTAACCTGACGCAAACCATGCACCAGGAGAAGTGGGTGTGTGAATTATGGTCCTTTCTGCCATGAGATGCACACTGAGGAGATGGACACACAAAGGATGGACCATCGGGTGGGGCTGCACAGGTGTCCCGTGGCTGCTGTTTTTGGAGCTCACAGACAGAAATGTTTGGGGAGAGCCTTGAGCATTTCTGGATCCCTCCTGGCCTTGGAGACTCTTCAGCATTCCCACCATCTTTGCAAGTGTGGGAAGTCTAAGGTCTACAAGAGCCTGCTGGATGCCACTTGGGTTAGCGAGTCGGGTTTCCATATTGCCTGCACTCCTGTAGGCCTGCACTCCCATACTGCCGCCCCCGGCCATCCTCAGAGCAGCCCCGTAGGCGGTGCACGATGGGGTTTCCTGGGCAGTAGCTGACAAAACCGAGGAAGCGTAGAGTAGATGGAGCGCTGTGGACGTTTATGGTACGCAAACACGTTCTTGTTATAATCCCAAGTGGGGGGGGGGTAGTTTGTTCACACCTGTTAATTGCCTCGTGTGGAGAGTGGTCTTTGCCAGCTGAAATTAATTGAAGTAGGAGGACTTGGAGGGGTATAAATATGATAGCCCAGAGGAAAAAAAAAGTACAGTGGCTTGGAGCAAGCAGAAGAGGACTGCTTGCTGGCTTGCTGGCTTGCTTGTTTGATGGTTTGATGGCTGGCTGGCTGGCTGGCTTTGCTGGCTGGTTACCTGGACACCGGGACTTCTGGATTTCCTGATGGCGGATATTGGTATTGTCCCCAAAAGAATCCTACCACCTTACCCAGCAGGAAGTAGCAAAGAAGGCTACATCTCCTTTCCCTTACAACCTTCTTTTCCCCCTACCTGGGGTTGGGGGGGTGGAAGGGAGGTATAAGCTTTAAGGAGCCCCCAAATGAAGTAGCGTCTGAAAAACCAACGCCTACAATGGGGTGACTTAGTGAGGTCACACATCTTGGATAGAACAAAGCTGTGATGGGCCCCACAACGCCTGGCTCAGGGGCTGGACCTGACCACTCCCCTGTGTCCTTGCAGCCAGGGCATATTAAGACTTAATTTGATAGTAGGAAGGGTGAGTTTTGATGAACAGGAAAATGGGATGAATACACAAATTTTCCCCAGAAAAGCTGGCCTTTGGGCGCTCGCTCCTGTAATGTATTAATGTGCTCCTCTTCCTTCTTCATGGATAGCTCCTTTACCCCCCCCCCCCTTTTTTTATCTACTTTAAAAAAATCTGAATCAAACAGGCACCAAAAGGAACTCTCCTCCGTGATTTCAACTCCGGAAGGGTGCGCAGACACGCCAGCTGGCAACGCTGACTCCAAGTCTATTTCCCCCACACGTGCATCTAAAAAATCTTGGTGGATGACTTTGGACGAAAAGGCACAGAGAAAGAAGATGCGCCATGCAGGTAGCTGTGCTCGGGATGGCGTGGCTCTTGGCTGGTTTTCCTCCAGGGAGAGGGCCTAAAACCAAACCCAGCTGGGGTTCCTTTCAAACCTCCCTTTACGCGCTCTGCTGCTTTATTTTAGTGCCTTGCTCGGTCCTGGTAAGCCCGCTACATCTGCCCTGCCTCAGCCTCTTTGTGTTTTCTAAGACAGTTGGCATGATAGCATGGAGTTACCCTGTAGCCTTCCCCCCCCCCCCCCGTGCTAATACCTTACAGAATAATATCGCGAAGCCATGACCCGGGCATCAACACTGGTAAAACCTAAAGATTTTATTCAGATTGTCTCAGCTTTTCTGGTTCAGCTGTTCGGGTTTTTATCACGTGTGTAGGTTCACGTTACCACCACAGTCCCGATGCAGGGGAATCGCATGACCGAAAGGGTCCTGTAGCTTGCCTTTTACAGCCATGCCCACAAGCCTCACAAACCTTCCCCTGGCCTTCGGGAACCACTGTGTTCTCATTCTAAGATGCTACATCTTAAAACTATTTTACAAATGGAGTCACAGCACATAGCCTTTCAGAATTGACTGGCTTGTCACTCAGCATAATTTTCTATAAATCTATACAATCGATGTAACATTCCATTCCTTTTTATTGATGAGCATTGATGTATTCTAGGTGATATATGTACCACATATATTTTTTAAACACACACATCTCTCTATCTATCTATCTATCTATCTATCTATCTATCTATCTATCTATCTATATTTAACCACTTATTTGTAGATTAATCCAAATTACTTCTAAGTTGAGGCTAGTATAAATAAAGCAGATTATGAACATTCATGTACAAATTCAATGTAGTCATAAACTTTCATTTATTTAGGACACATAGCTAAGAATGCAATTGCCAAGTCCCGTGGTAATTCAACATTTCACTGTGAAGAAAATTACCAAGCAATTCTTTCAAAGCAACGGTGCCATTTTGCTGGAGAGAATGACCAGTTATTCTATTTGAACTTCAGCAGCACAATGTGTTAGCATGTTTTTAAGATACTCCTCTCCCCGTTGGTTATGTGAAACTCCCAGTGATTTTAATTTGCGTTTCTGTAATTGCCAACGGTGCCGACTCTCTTCATGCATTTCCTTGTCAGTACTGCGTGTCAGTTGTCACCCGTCTATGCATTTGCTTGGTGACTTTTCCAATGAACACTTTGAGCTTCGTTGGCGAGATGAGACCTCAGTCAGAATCAGTCATTTGGAAGCTTTTCTCTTGGTTTATTCCATCCACATTCCATCCACAGTAGGCACCTTCATCAAGGACTTTAATGCGTCCGATTTTCTTTTCCTAGGTCTTTATTTTGGTGTCAAATGTAAATACTAGCTTTAAGTCTTATAGATTTTTTAATCTTAATTTTAATTTTTTTATTAATTACAGTTTATTCACTTTGTATCCCAGCTGTAGCCCTCTCCCTCACCCCCTCCCAATTCCACCCTCCCTCCCTCATCTCCTCCCATGCCCCTCTTCAAGTCCACTGATAGGGGAGGTCCTCCTTACCTTCCCTGTGACCCTAGCTTATCAGGTCTAATCAGGACTGGCTACATTTTTTTTTCTAGAAGTTTTGTGGGGTTTTCTATGCTTCATTTTGTGTGAGGTTTGAGATTCAGAGATTCAGATCAAACATTTTCTTCCCTTCCCTCTCTTTCCTCTTTCTATATGTCTTTCTTTCTCTTTCTTTCTTTCTTTCTTTCTTTCTTTCTTTCTTTCTTTCTCTCTTTCTTTCTCTCTTTCTTTTTTCATTTCCTTTGGGGCTAAAGTTATTATTGTAATATGATTTGTTATATTTTTATTATTATATTTTTATTATTTAAAACAATTTTAATTTTAAATATAATTTGATCATATTTTTCCTCTCCCCCAAGTTATTCTAGATCCTATCCCCTTCCTACTTACACAATTTTTTCTTTCTGAATAAACAAACAAAAACTCAATTTAACAACAAAAAAAACCCAAAACCAAGAAAACAAAATCACACTCAAAGAGAAAAAAACAAAACAAAACAACCCCCCACTAAACTATAACCAAATAAAAGTACACACACACACACAAACAAACAAACAAAAAACAAAAACAAACTGTGGAGTCTATTGTATGTTGGTAAACTGCTCCAGAACCTGAAGCCTGTCCTGGAATGGTTGATATACCCAGTGTCACTCTATTGGAGAAAACTGGTTTTCCTTTCCCAGCAGGTACAAGAAGACAGTTCAGTTGTTAACTTTTACCCTAGTAGCTAGGTTTTCACCCATTCATCAATTCGTCCGTCGATCCATCCATCCGTCCATCCATCCATCTGTCCATCCATCCATCCATCCATCCATCCATCCATCCATCCATCCATTTTTTTCAAAATAATAAAATAAAATATAAGATAAAGCAAAAACTATTACACTGAAGCTGAAGAAGACAAACCAACTAAAGGAAAAGAGCCCAATAAAAGGCACAAGAGTCAGAGACCCACTCGTCCACACACTCAGGAGCCCCACACAAACACCAAACTGGAAGCCTACGATACTTGCAGAGGACCTGGCGCAGACCCATGCGGGCCCTGTGCATGCTGCTTCAGTCTGTGAGTTCATAGGAGCTTTGCTCATGTTGATTTAGAGGGCTTTGTTTTCTGGGTGTCCTCCATTCCCTCTGGCTCTTAGGCTTTCTCCATCTCTTCTTCTGAAAGGTTCCCTGATGTCTGAGGGGGGGATTTGATGGAGACACCTCTTTTAGGGCTGGTGTTCCAAAGTCTCTCACTCTCTGAATAATGTCTGAGGGGAGGGATTTGATGGAGACATCTCTTTTAGGGCTGGTGTCTCTCACTCTCTGAATAATGTCTGGCTGTGGGTCTCTCTCTATGTTCCCACCTACTTCAAGGAGGAAGCTTCTCCGATGATAGCTGAAGTAGGCACTGATCTGAGTATAACAGAATATCATTAGGAGTGATTTTAGGCAAGTGTTTAGTTTTAGCTTAGGTCCCTGGGCTATCTAGGCTCAGATTCCTGGTGACCAAAGCAGTGTTGGGCATGGGTTCATGGAGTGGGCCTTAAGTCAAATGAATCGCTGATTGGTTGGTCACTCCCACACACTTCGTGCCACCATGGCACTAGCATAGTTTGCAGGTGGCACACTATTGTAGACAAAGGGTTTGTGGCTGGCTTAGTATTTACATTTCTCTTTGAGAGCACACAGAGGCCTTACTCTACCACAGATGCTGAGCATAGGGGTAAAGGCTCTATGTAGACGCCAGCTCAACATCTCCATCTTCCATGATCTGTGTAGGTGTTGTCTTCAGCAATGGGGCCTTGCTGGCAGTTTGGGAAGAACAATCTATAGTCTTGGCAACAATCTGGGTTGTTTGGAGATTCCCATGGAGCCTCTTTGGCCAACTCAATTAGATATAACCTAATCCTAGTATCAGAAGCTTTGTTTGGTGATAAGAGATGGCCAGTTGGGACTCTTTTTCCCACATTATTTGGCAATTTCATTTAGACTGCCTTCCTATTTATGTATATTTTAGGAAGTTTCTGCTTTATTAGGTTTCCATATCACTCCTCAAATGCCCCTTAATTTTAGCTGTTTCTCCCTATATTCCTTCACACACACACACACACACACACACACACACACACAAACACACAAGCAATACTTCAGGGTTTGCGGGTCAGCTCAGTGTTCAAAAGAACTTGTTCCTGAAGAGGACCTAGGTTCAGGTCCCAGCACCCACACAGGAACTCACAATGGTCTAACTCCAGTTTCGGTGGATCTGACATCTTCTGACTTCTGTGGGCACCAGGTACACACATGCTATAGATACATACTTACAGAAAAATTACTAACATACATAAAATAAAACAAGTCTTTTTAAAAAACCAAATATTCCACGTTGTTAATTTAACACGTGTTAATATAACACGTGTAAAGATCAGTGGAGCACATTTATGTGTGTTGAGTCTGGTTACTGTCCATTGATCTCTTTCTCTTCCCTTTGCCAATAGCATGTCATCTTGACTGATGGAATATCAGCATCACAGAGTGACTTCTCTAACGTTCTTATTCTAAGGACAATTTTAGCTATTCTAGGACTTGATGTTTTTGTGTGAAGTTTAGAATACATGTGTCCATTTCAATATAAAACTCTCTGGGATTTTATTAGTGATTGCAACGAAAGTATGATCTTGCTGGGCAGGTCACCCAGCTCATAAGCATGGAATTTCTCTCCACCCATCCAGGTCTTCTTGATGTCTAACTGGAGCATTTGTAATTTTCAGCATAGCCCATGAAGACACAGCAGTTTTGTTGATTCTATAACTGGGTACTTTGCTGAAATCGGTAGTCTGCAGAGTTCTGCTGTGAGTGGACTTTTTGTCATTTTATACAAGTAGGAACAATTATATTTCTTATTTCTGGCTTTATTTCACCTTCTTGCCTCATTCCAGTGGCTAGAATCTCTACTTCTATTTTGGAATAAAGGTAACAGTAATCATCATTTTGTTCTTCTCAATATTGGGAGGAAAGAAGTTTCCCCCATTAACTATGATGTCAGCCATGCAGATTTACATATAATCCTTATTAAGCTTAGAATGTGTTTCACTTAGCTTTCTGGGAGGTTTGCATTTCTCATAAATGGGTGCTGGATTTTGTTAGGTGTTTTTTCTGTCAATTGATATCAGAGTTTCCTCCTTTGGTCTGGTGATGGGGTAGATTGTATTGGTTTGTTTCAAATACTGACAAGCCTTGTATATTTTTCTAGTTTGCTTACTATTACTGTTAAGAGTAAATACTCTGACCAGTAGAAACTTAGGTCAGAGTATTAGGTTTATTTTGTGTTATCCTTAGTGTATCACTAAGGGAAGTCAGGATAAGAGTCCCAGCAGGAACTTGAAACGGATCCATGGAGGAACACGGCTTGCTGCTGTAGCGGGCCAGTGATGAAACTGGCCTTGTCACACAGCCCAGGCCCTCCTGCTCA